GGTCCTCGGGGGTAGGGTTTTATATACAATGCATCTATCAATTCTCTTTTGCACACAAGCTTAAAAAATGTCTAAAAACAAAATTAATGTTGTGATTAGTCATACTGATATGAAAAAAAATCTGGGATCGCAATTGGGGATCAAAGCTTTGCATAAGAATAAAAAGGGGGAAAGGGGGAAACCTTTTAAAAACAACAAGACCATGACTACTAACATTGAACTAAAAGCATCCTCAGTGCAAGATTCCTTTGGTTCAAATCATGAACCCCCCACGGTAAGGCTTCACACATCTTTAAAAATTCTTTTCTGAAGAACAACAAAGTCATGAATAGTTATGTATGGAAGCATCCTGAGAAAGTTTAGATTCACTTTCATGCAAAACATGACAAATTTGGGCAATAAAAGTTTAACATGTGTATATAGAAGAAATATACTGATGAAGAAAATCAGCTAGCGCTAGAGTCATATTGACTCAGGTGAGCGTTTTGGCCTAAGGACCTTTTTTTATTGCAACCATTTGAAAGTATGCATATCCGCGCATTTTGTTAAGTTCATTATAGCGAGCGCAGCGAGCGTCGCGAAGCGACGCTCGTCACTGCGAGCTCTTAAAGCAACGCCTGTGCGAAGAGAAAATTCGGACTACTGCACATTCATTCGATGGAATTTTTTGATGCCGTAATTTGACCCACAATGCATCACTTGTTTAAGCTACGTTAAAAGCCACGCGACGCTCGTCACTGCGAGCTCTTAAAGCAACGCCTGTGCGAAGAGAAAATTCGGACTACTGCACATTCATTCGATGGAATTTTTTGATGCCGTAATTTGACCCACAATGCATCACTTGTTTAAGCTACGTTAAAAGCCACGTTCTCGTGAGAATAGCAGCAAAAGTTCTACTAAGAGTAAACATGCCCTGATTTAATGGATAAATATTGAAGAAAATATACCAAACGAAACGTTCTTCTTTTATTTTCACCATTGTTCAGGGTTCTTTGGGAGAAATGTAAGTTACATACGACGTCATGTGACGTCAGAGTCTAGACGCATCAAATGTCACGTGCAGTTTGACGTACGAGCCCGATTTAAATTCTAACAAAATAAACATCTGCGCTCGCCATAACGGTCGCACCGTCAACATATTACAAACTACAATTAAAACATTAGAATAAAAGATATATCATGAGGACTCATGTATTTATTATAATCATTTGCATGTGTACTTTGGTTTATTTATGACCTGACAGATACACGGATCTTTAATTTTTAAGAGTTCAGCTGTTCCATTTTTTCCAGCTGTTGTCCAATGATTTTTATAAGTTTATTTGTACAAACAGTTTGCAAAGTTACATTACCAAGCAACCAACTTGTTTTATTGCATAATCTGATTGTAAATTAAAAGCTAGAACGGAATTTCAATATTTGTAAATAGAAGTCGAAACACTTATTCCGGAATCTTTTAAAGTAAAACGCACAACTCTAAATTAGCCTTATCTGGTTCGAGAGGTAACGGAAACCATGTAATGTAATGTTACATCTATTGTCCAGTGGGTGTTACTTAAATAATCAATGAAACACAGGGTCTATTTTCCAGTGTGAAATACATTCGGGAAATGAAGTATCGCGGATTTATGAAAATTGGTTTAATTTAAAGCATATACCATGTTATTTTAAAAGTAAAACTACACGTAATTTAGCCGTCTTCGTGTTGTATAAAATCTTTAAGCATAGATGTTTGCTTGTAAGTCTATACCAACTGAGAAAAAAATCTACATACAACCTTGTACATCATACTGTAATCGAATTCTTAAAAAAAAAGAAGAAGATGGAATTCATTGCATAAAGCTTCAAACTAGTTTGTACTTTAACTATAATTTATTTTAGGAATTTAAGATAACATAATGAAAATAAACTACACATTCAAGATAACATAATGCAAATTCAAAATAACATTTCTGAATCAATCACTAGTATATTTTCAGACAGGCATTTTTAAGGTTTAAACATTAGCAGTTTTCAATTAAACGCCATTTTTTATGTGTTCTAAAAAGTCACAATATTTTCAGGCACAGAAAATGGACTTAAAAATACAGTTATAATTTTATCAATATTTTATTATTGTGCTTAAATATAGACATCAAAAGTCGGGACATGTTTGTTGAACACCCTGTACTAGTAATCAAATATGTAAAGATAACGAACATTATTATATGATGGAATAATTTCCCCATCTCTGACTGGCTGAGATCCAACAATGTTAGAAAAATACTGTGTTATATTGACCTACACGTGACCCTCCAGGTCAACACAAGGAATTGTTATACCTTTATAAAATTGTTCCTATACAAATCTATACGAAAAAAAGTCCAATATACCTGATGTTTTGCTGAGCGGGCATAAAAAAATCGATGTAGGACCGATGAGTGAGATGTTGGACCGATCGATGAGATGTTGGACTACTTACGTCACAGAATGGGCGGAGCTTAATCTCATTTTCATGCGTTGGTGTTTAACACTGACGAATCTGAAGTTACATCACGGAATACAGTTTAAAATACATGTATGTATAAAAAAATTAAAATGAAAGGTATAACAAAACATTTATTGACGGAGTTCGAAAGCAAAATGCGTTTTGTCGACCCTCGAACCAAACTGTCTGCCTTCGGCCCAACGGCTGCGGGCAGACAGTTTGGTTTTTGGGTCCGACAAAAGGCATGTTGCCCTCGAACTCAGTCAATAAATGTTTATTATTGCAGGTCAATATTATGTATCATGTGACCTTCCAGGTCAATACAAGGAATTATTGCAGGTCAATACAAGGAATTATTTCTGTTCCATATTTCCTGTAACAATGCGTTTTGTTGAAATTTCTCGTTAAAACTTTCAATTAAAGCAAAAATAGTCTTGTAGGAGTTTGCTATCATTTAACCATATAATAAAACAGTAATTGTTGTTTTTTGAGGTCAAAACGATGATTTAGCTACCTTCAAAGTACAATATTCACTTCGAGCTCAGTGAATACTGTACTCCTCAGGTGTCTAAATCATCGTATTGACCTCAAAAACAGCAATAATTGTATAGTATATTCTAGCTCAAAAAGTCCATTAAACAATAAAAAAAAAAAATAGGAGCGGAGCAAACATGGTACAAGTATATGATGCAAATTCAAAGTAACAATGCAAATTCGAGAAAACAATGCAAATTTCTTATACGAAATGTAAATTAGAGATATGCAAATCAAGATTTCAAATTCAAACTTAAGGATGTGAGGATGTTTCTTTGAATGTAAAAGTAAAGCATAAAAATTGAATTCAGAACATTAAAATTTAATGTAATACGGTGGATCGATTTTTGGCTGACGTTTTTCACACCAATTTTTAGGCTTTCTTTCTATTAATAACTTTGAGAACGCCTACTCCTCCTAGGCACCTAATCCCACCTGTTGTTAGATTTTTATTATTTAAAGATTTTTTTTTTAAAATTAATCACTGTTCGTTATCTTTCCCTTTTGCATATTAAAAAGCCAAGTCTTTTACTGTTTGGGAGGAATGGTTCACCGTACAAAATGTTGAGAAGTAACAAATTAGTACGATTCTCAGTTAACCTTAGACTTTCAGTAGGGCGTGACTTTCTCGTAATTAACCTCTCTCAAATGACGAAAAGATTCTCATTGGTTAAGAAATTAATAACATCAGCAACTTTAAATTGTTGCTGACATCGTGATCGATGAGGCGACTTAAGCCCCACCTCTCTGCAGTACGAATAGCTTTCATTGGATCATTGATACACTCGTTGACATTCGCCGGAATGTATTTTTCAACAGTGAATAAAAGACTGTGTAAATGTTTAGGCACTAATTATGTAACGTCGAGAATACTGAGCCTTACTGAAAGTCCAAGGTTAACTGAGAACTGTGCTATGGTGTTCTGCAAGTGGCAACTTTCTTCCTTTCTAAAGGATATTAAGTTCTTAATTCAAAATTGTGTTATTTTTAATTTTATATTCTTTTTATATTCCCTATGATTAAATTGGTAATGAATTACCATATCTATACTGAATTTTTAAACTACATAAAAGTCCTTACAAAGAGACATGATGGGTTCCATTGAATATCCTGCCAAGACTCTTTCTTAACTCCTCATCAAAATATTAAGAGCAATTAGGAAGAAACTTCAGGATTACTTTTCTTCTTAAGAACAGCAAAGCCATGATTAGTCATCTTCATATGGAGGCATCCTCAGGTGGTGTTCATTCAAGTTTGTTCAAATCATGACCCTCGGGGTAGGGTGGGGCCACAATGGACGATGAAAGTTTTACATATTAGGAATACATAGGAAAAATCCTTAAAAATCTTCTCAAGAACAGCAAAGCCATGGTTGATCATATTTATATGAATAGTATAGATTTAAGTTTGTCATGACCCCCCGAGGGTAGAGTATGATCACATTATGAAAATTCACCGTTAGTTAAAAAAAATGTAAATAACCTTAGTTAGTAAGTGTAGATTCAATTTTGTTAAAATCATAACCATCCCTCTTCCTGTTAGGGGTACATGTAGGTGGGGACCACTCATGCATTTACATGTATATGCTTTTCAATACTAAACAGATTTTTTGCTTTTTTCCTAGCCAATGCTTAGTTGAGCGATGTGGCCCCAAGGCCTTTTGTTATGTTTTGGCGGAGATGAAAATATGTTGTAAAAAGTATTGTAGTATAATACTGATTGGTGAAAAAAAAGATATAAAATCACTTTGAACAAGGAAAAATATTTTAAGTATCGTATAAATAAAATGCAATTTGAATGGAAAGTACTCGAAAACACAAAAGCTGCGATTATGCAGAAACATCCCGAAGATTTATCGATTAAAAGATAATTTATATATAAATTTGACCTTGTGTTTCATTGAATATTTAAGTAACACCCACATTCTGTATTATCATTGAAACGTTTTTATATGACTGACAGTATTACCGGTACATATAAATAAGCGTGTTCTTAGTCGACTGTATCTGCTGTCTTCACAACTTTTATAGAAAAAAAGTTTATATTGGCTATCTTCCTCAGTAAGTGAAAATTTAAATAATTGTTTTTCACTATCTACTTCTTTGACGTAATAATTATGTTTTTGTATATATTCTATATCAACTATCATGAAATATATGGAGACAACGAACAGTATTCAAGCCCACAAGTCCATAAAACTATACAAAATTGGAGCAGAGCAAACACAGACCTCCAAAACATCAGAGGTGGGATCAGGTGCCATGGAGGAGTGAGAATCTCCTACCGAACGGTCACATCCGCCGCGTGCTCCCTCGGACACGATCGGGAAATAACGGGAAATTCCATCGACAACTCAGTGTGTAAATAATGGCCTAACAATCAGTATGAAAAACGTCAGTCAGAATTTTACTCGATGTTGTAAAGAAATGACTGCACTTAACGCCAGACTTTGGGTCGTGTTTTTCGGTCGCTCCTATAGCTTTTATATCTTAAACTAATTTCACTTTTGTTTACCACAGTGACGGTTTAAAAATCTTGTCAATTTGAGACTAGACGTTAAGGTGTTTCCACCCTCACAATTTTATTGGTTTAAAGTACAAAAACTGCATTTATTTTCATTCAGTATACTTTAAATTTTCCAATTATTGCAAAAAATGTATAGGTCATCATATTATCTAAGTTGCGAAACATAAATAAACAGAAGTGTTTGTCAACATAAAAAATCGAACATTTTTTGTAAACAGTATTGTGAAAAATATGTAAAAACTAGTTAAAATGCATAATTCTGATGCTGAATGTTCCTAAATACTTCCTACTTATAAGATACTTTTGAATTGTGAATATCAGGGAAACTATTTTACATCAGAAGTTCAATGAAGCAAATGCCTGAATGAAGAGACCTTAGAAGGAGTTATTGCCCTAGTCAACATTTTTAAAAGATTGAATAATTGATTAAATAAAGAAAATATGCATTTTTTAAATTCTTTTGCTTGACAATATTTATCAATACACCTGTAAAGCATTCTTCCAAAAAGATATTGTTCTATTAGGTATTAATTTAAACTAATTACAGTTTTTACAAAAACCTATGACATAATAGGAGGGTGGAATTACCTTAAAATAATTCTAGACGGTGTTTGATAAAATAATTCTATATCATGTCTTTTGTCTTAATTGTTCCAAATATAAAGAATTTAATTACCTGCCGCTGGATCTTGTCACTGCTCAAGAGCTTGCTGTAATTTTTAAACGAGGTATGCTACAGGGATTTCAACAACCTCATTTAATGCCGGACGGCATCTGTTAATTCTATGGTCGTTATAATGACCTCGTTAGCGAACGTGACCTGTTATATTAGGCCGTATTTTGGTTGAGCTGATTCATACCAATATTGTTGGGTTTTAACTTTCTTTATGCTGACTTTGGCTACGAAATGTTCTGTTTACAGAAACACTGTAAAAAAGAATAGCATTGGTGGATACAGGATCTGTTATTGGGGGGGGGGGGGGGGCGGGGATAACTTTTTGCAGACAAGGGGCCTTTTAAAAGGCCCCCACTTGGTCCAGGGCGAAGCCCTGGTGGGGGCTAGGGGGCAAAGCCTTGGAAACTTTTGGGTTTTCATGTATTTTAAGAGTAAAACCAGGCAGAATAATAGTGGTATTGGTTAGATATGTACCAAAGCACAGCATTATTAATGCTATAGTCATATCATACTTTATGGTGGGGGCCCAGGGGGCGAAGCTCCTGGATTTTTTTGGTGTATTTTACGAGTAAAACCAGGCGCAATAATAGTGGTATTGGTCAGATATGAACCAAAGCACGGTATTATTAATACTAGTCATATCATACTTCATGGTGGGAGCCCAGGGGGCAAAGCCCCCGGAAGCTAGCTCCTGGGTTTTTTGTTTATTTTAAGAGTAAAACCAGGCACAATAATAGTGGTATTGGTTAGTTATGTATCAAAATATGGCATTTTTAATATTAGTCATAATATCATACGTTGAACATTTTATGGGGCGGGGGCGTGCCCCCCACCCCCTAAAATCCGCCAGTGAATAGGTCGGATGTTTGTGATTTATCCTCCTCAATAATCTCTACCGGAATGCATATAAAAATAATTTTGTTTATGTCGTGTAAGAAATTTCTTATCTTAAACGCCAAGACATTAATTTGATTTTTGTTCATTTCGTTTTCTTTTAATTTTCCTTTCATCGAAAATTTAACATACTGACATCGGATATGACGTCATGTGAAGACGTTGTGAGATTGCGAATTATTTATTATAGATCAGTAGATTAAACATTAATTTCAAACTTTGGCTATTTAGTCGGTGTACAACGGTTCATTTACCATTGAAATTATTAATATTCAGTTTGATACGAACTTGTTAATTCCACACTGAAAACACATAAATTTTACTCAACGAAAGATTACAATATTTCAAAGTTATGCGAAGTTCAATGTTCTGTTATTATTTCAGAAATGATTTTCCGTGTGGCTGTTTTCACCAGCTGGCTATTTGTATTGTGTTTGGTAACAGGTGAGTTCAACTTCAGTACTTGGCCTTTCGTTTAAATTCACTTGAATTTTTCAATCAGTTGAATAGCTATTTTACATTGATATACGTACAGCTACAGATAGGTAATATAAATCGATTTAGCATACGCAGTTTGGGAATACTGATATCTAAATACTAGTATGCCGTCGTCTAAAGCTCGTTTATAAATAATAATGAATTAAATGATGCACATTCACGATACGAATTAAGCCTAGAATGTATTGATAACTTTAAAATGGAGTCGTCTGTATACTAGTAATATCGCACTTTAAAGAGTAATATAAAGATGAATTGCGTCATATATTTTAAATAGCTGGAGCTACGGAAGATGACAAATTTTACAACTGCGAAGTCTACTCAAATGAGGAAAACACCCCAAAGGAGAATGCTTACTGTTTCCGAGACATGAATGATGGCAAATTTTATTGTAAGAGCTGGACGTGCCAATCTCCGCCATGTTCCTCTGATCTGCAACAGGATCAAAAGGGCGATCCCTGTCCCATTTGTAATGGTGAGTACCATAAACGATATATAGCAACTTAATTTGATTCATGTTTTAACAGTTTAAGAAAATAAAAAAAAACTTCTTTATAACACTTTGAACACAAAAAAAAAATGAATAAATAAGTAAATAAAAATAATTAAAATAAAACTATACAAGCAAATTTCAGTACGAGATGATATTAACTTTTTAGATTGAAGACATCCTAGCTGTAAGCAGATGAAATTAAGCTCAGTTTTGACTTTGAAATTTATTAAGGTACATGTACCGTCGAGGGACGAATCATCAAAGTCGGTGACGTAGTAATCTGTGCTGACGGCATCAACAAGTGTCGCTGTATCGATACCGGCGTGGTTATCTCTACACGGATGTTGACCAACAAATATTCCCTCTGTGGTGCCGATAACAATAACAGCTGATCATGAATTTCATACAGAACATTTCTAAATGATCACAAGCTTGAATATTATTAAAATATCATATGTAATTTGAATTGTGTTTTGTTCTTTATTTAAACGATGTACTTTGTGGAAGAGACCATATTCTAAAGGGTGGATTCAGGAGTGTTTGATTGTTTGCCTTATGTCCCCTTGAGAATTTATCACCCTTACTAACTCGTTTGCCATAGCATTTAGTAAGTTATGAGTTTGGTCATTATCGTTTCGAGTCAGTAAAATATCCAGATATGAAACAGATGTTGTAGACTCTTTAGTGTCCATTTTAGTTTACTGTGATAAATCGTGTCAATGTCATTACGTACGTTACCGCAACACTCTTCTGATAGACCTATAAATAATTGCTAAATGAAATTGAGACAATCACACCAATCTCTACTCATGTCTTGATGTGGCGGTTTACTTTTTTTTTAATTATACGTATATGAATTCCTGCGTTTTGCTCATCCAAATTGAAAATGTCTTTACCCCCTTCCCCACTCCCAGCAACTGGTATTGCCTCCAACGGGCCTGAATCATGTGTAACTAAGTTTTTACATCACTCTAAACTCTTAAAATATACAGAGAATGAAATTATAAAATACACGGTTCATCTTCTACATGTAGAGAGTAAAATATTTTTTTATATATATGTGTGACTCTATTCAAAGTGAAATATGTTTGCTTTTTTTTTTAGATATTAAAATTACATTTATATATCGTTAAATTGTTTCAAAATATAATCTAACACATTTAGCAAAATTTTGATAAATATTTGTACAAATGAAATATATTTTATTTATAACTTGAGGGAGTTCATTTTGCAATTGGGCGAAGTAACTGGAAACCCATTCATTGTACGAGTTAACTAAGAAAACATGGCGGACGATCTTCGAAGCAGGTGATTATGAATCAATTTTTTATTATTTTTACGAGTTTACGGTGGGGGAAAAGGTGACTACAATGATAGCAATACTCTACTGAATGTTGTGTCATCTTGTTAAAAGGTAGGGCTGAGGAATATCTCGATAAATTAAAAGATTATTGAGGAAATTCGAATTAATAAGGTGATAATCATGTTGACCAGGTCCAGCAAAATCTCTTTATTTAGCTGTAAAGCTTGACGTAGCTATGTAGTTTAATTATGTACTTCATAATAACGTGATAAAACTATATATCTGTTCTTAAATGTTTTCTTATAAATAACTTCCCTTATAATTAAATATAACCTGATAACAACAAACCTTATACTGTTATAGAAAATTGTTTGTATAAATAAATTAAGTTAAATGGGGTGACTGGAAATTCCTGAAACCCCCCGATTTTTGGAAAATATCCATACAGGAGGGGTGAAACCCCATCACATGCATTTGTCAACCATTTACCACCGGTTTACAACTTTTAAATGGGTAACCATAATTCATTGATTTCTATTTCTTGTCAACTGTACCCATAATTCAATGCTTTTCTTGTATAGGATAATGGGCGATGAAGCACGAACAAACAGTGTGATGAAGACTATGATCCTCTTTAGCCTATCCATGATCTTCTTCCCAGTCTTCTTGTATTTCTTTTCCAAAAGCATGTTCTTTCAAGGTAGCCTTTTATTTTAGTTAACATTGGTTATTACCGTAAATGAGGTAAATATTAAGATACTAGTAATCTATTCAGCAAACAGACTAACAAGTATACAGTGTACATGTAAATAAAATACTTTTACCATGCAACAATATTAAATGAGAAAAACAAACATTATGAGCTAGTTTTAGATTTTCTATTAGATTTAAATGCAGGAAGAAATACAAAATATTCTGATCCTTGACCTCACTCATTTTAGGAATCATGGGAATTTCCAGCCAAGACAGCTCTTTCTATGCAGCGTTTGTTGCCATAGGAACAGTGCATATTATTCTAGGACTTTTCTTGTACACAGCATTTACAGAGGACACTTCAAAGCCTTCAGATCTCAAGGCAGACTAGAACTGTTCTTACAAGTTATCTGTATGATTTGTTAAATATGAAGGGGTAGATTTGTACATGCTAAGTATATATTTACATGTATGTATGTAGATGAAAGAATGGTGATTGAACAATTATTGTATGTGCAATATTGATTTTGGTTTTTGTTTTTGATTAATTGTACATTTTTGGGAATAATAAAATATAACCTGTATTAATGTGAATGTTACAGAACCTTGTAGTCTCAAAAAATATGTGTGCTAGACAGTCCAATTCAATTTTATTACATGTAGTAAATTAAAAATACATCGATCAATAATAGCAAAAGTAGATGTTTCAAGTTTTAAACTTGAAAGAAATCACACAGCTTAATGTTAAATTGCTTTGTATTGATTTGTACATGTACATGTCATTATACAGTTAATAGTAACTAATTATTAACTGTTCTATGTATGTGCAAAGTAATTGATAAGTGAAACCAAGTACAACTTCCTATTACTTTGGTTGCTAGTTACATTTTTAAAAATCCATACATTGTTGTATGCTTCCTATTAGATATGTGGAACAGAGCAATTATTTAATTAATGGGTTGTTGAAATATTGGTGAGATATCTTTACATTTTTAAATGTGTGAGCAACTGAGCATCTCTTAACTCCTTTTGTTTGTGATGCCAGTGAAACCGAAGTATTGAAATGCACTCAGTTTGCTGCTTCATCTGTTTTGTTTTAAAGTGTACATTCCATGATATAAAGATATTTGCCTTCCAATTTTTTAAATAAGAGGAATATGTATATCATTTTAAAATAATTGATTTCCTGTTAATGAAATTTTCATACATGCAAGTATTTTACACCAATATGAACCATTTCTAAACAATAAGTTTTTGAATAAGCATTATTTACTTTTTTGATTCCATTTCAATATCAGACATCACTAGAATTTCAATAATGTAAGTTGAAAATTAAATTAGTGCTATTATTTGTATATTTTCAATGAATAATAAAAAAAAAATAATAGGAAAAAACAGTATGCAAATATATAAATATCTGTTTTGTTTCCTTCATAAAAGCACAATTTGGCTATATATGCACAGGCACTTGTTTCATATACGGGGCAACCCCTACTTATTTAGTGGTAAAAAAATAAGTAGGGGTGTCCCATATACAAAACAAGTGTCACAGAATATCTCAGATTCTCAGCAGAGATCAAAGTTAAGTCAACTTAAGTGTGACAGCAAAGTGGGGTTTCTTTGTGTGAACAGAATAAATATTTCTCTAGAAAATGATAAAGCTTTTATAAATTTTACAATATCAATGAGTTTGAATTTTCTTGAATGACCTTGTCAAGGTCCTGACACATACTAAGGTGACACATAATCTCTGTACCATGTTTGAGAATCCTTTGATTCTCCATGAATTATCCAGTCAGGATAAGAATTAGTGCTTTTTTGTCAGTGGCCTTGAACTTGCTGGAATGACAGTCTTGACAAACTCTAGGGACATTGGCAGTCTGTACATTGTACTAAGCATGGGCTTCCTCTGATTCCCTTTTACAAAGTAATAGCCCATTCAAAAGTTATATATATATATATATATATATATATATATATATATATATATATATATATATATATATATATATATATATATATATATATGGGCGTTACTATGTGACAGTCAAAAAACTTTATTGTAAAGCATCTAAAGATTTTTAAATCTTCTCCATTGCAAAGTTATATCCTGGATAACAATTTGGAACTTTTTTTTTGCCAGTGACCTAGAACTTTCCAAAATGACCTTAAAGCTTGGGTCAAGGTTAACGCACACCATTTGATCTGATAAGCAATCTTAACACCAAGTATGATTACATTTCAAAGCCAATTTGAAAGTTTTTGCATGGAAAATAAAAACACTACTTAAACACATTGTGTAATATTGCACTTTTTCAGTCAGTGACCTTAAACTTTTTCTGAATGACCTTTGGTCAAGGTCATTGCATATCGTATATACGACGTATATACATATACCAAATGAATATTTACATTATTTTCTAATAAAACAGCGTTATATTTTTACATAATGATAAATATGCTTTTGGTCAATTTGGAATTAATTACCCGGTATTCTGTGCTGCGAAAGTTTGAAAATAAATTACTGTCCCCACAAAATCACATCTTCTCAGGCTTTTCTTGCAAGCTCCAAATTTTTCCGTTTCTCGGAAAACTGGCCAGAAAAGTTGCGATTGCCCCAACTCTTGAAGAGAAATTATTGTGTCCTTGTATTTATTTATTTTATTCACCAATCAAGGGCCCTCGGGGGGGGGGGGGAGGGGGGGCATGAACAAATTAGTACAATATGATTATACTGATTACAATTCTATATTATAGGTGTATAATGTAATATGACTAGTGATTAAGTTTGACATTGAGAAGTGCATCACCACAAGATGTATCATCATGAAAATATAGGATTTGTTACATATTCACAGTACAGTCTCACACTGGATCAAAAGTATAGAAAACCATAGGTTGATAAAAAAAAAACAACAACAACAACAACAAAAACAATTAAATAAAAATAATAAATATAAGATAATTTAAAAAAAAATTCTTGTAATAATACTTACTTACTTATCGTTACTTATCGTTGGTTTCCAATTCAGGCTCCCTAAGGATCCTCTTCATTGGACTCCCTATATCCTACTTCAGTTTTAGTATAACTCACTACGTGACTTCCGGATATTGTAGCCTTATAGTCATATAAAATGTCTTGATTTTCCCAGTGTTTATCCAAACGTTGCTTGAAAGAATTAGTAGTCTTCGCACTTATAACATCCTCTGGTAGACTGTTCCAGATCTTAGCAGCTCTCAGGGTGAAGTTATATTTTCTGATATCTAATCTGGCTCTCTGGATTAATAGTTGCTTGGAATTCCCCCTTGCAGTTTCTCTCCCTACATGATCTCTCCTAAATTTCACAAAGTTGGCTGCTTTTGTGTCATATTTTCCACTCGTAATTTTATATATCTCTATCATATCTCCTCTGTGTCTTCTATAGCTGAGTGTTGGTAGTTTGAGTTTCTTCAGTCTCTCAGAATAGGTATGATCTGACATTCCAGGTATCTGCTTTGTTGCCCTTCTTTGCACTCCCTCCACCATCTCAATATATTTAGTTTTGTATGGGAACCAGACTGAGCTTGCATAGTCCAAGTGTGTTCGAACCAGAGATTTATAGAGCGGAATGAATGTATTTTCATCTAAATGTTGAAATATCCTTCTAATCATGGCAAATGTCGAGTTGGCTTTCTTTACTTTCTCGCATATGTGTTTCTCAAAAGTTAAATTTTCGTCGATGATTACTCCTATGTCCTTTTCTTCCTGAACACGCTCTAAAGATTCTCCTAATAACTTGTATGACACCTCTTGTGAAGACTTTTTCCCTATATGCATATATTTACACTTTTCAGGATGGAATTTCAACAACCAAGTGTTGCTCCACTGAGTGAGTTTTTCAAGATCTCTTTGCAGTGTTTCCTGATCTCCATTTTCTTTCACAATGTTAAAAATCTTTGTATCATCTGCGAAAAGGTATACCATTGACTCGACGATCTCTGGTAGGTCGTTTATGAATATTACAAACAATATCGGTCCTAAGACGGAGCCTTGTGGGATGCCAGATGTTACATCATGCCACTCGGAACTTCTCCCATTCACTGTAACCTGTTGTTTTCTATCCCTTAGGTAGTCTTGGATCCACTGAATTGTTTCAAGTCCTAATCCATATGCTTTCAGCTTGCTGATAAGACGTCTATGAGGAACTGTATCAAATAGCAGTACTCTGATATATAATTCTTTTTATATAGAAAAAATGTTTATTTTGATGAATGATTAATAAAAATACATTTTGGTAATATTTCTGTACCACAAGTAAAGGTTAAAAATACCTCCCCCCTTCCCAATGAACGTACCATAATACTTAATCGGAATTCGCAATGCCGTCTAAATTGACTATATCATTCTAAAATTTAGCGTTCGGATTTCTATATCCGGTTCATATAGCACAGAAGGCCAGCGAAAGGGGACAGAAAAACATAAATATGATGCCTTAATAAGAAAAAAATAATAGGAATCAATGGTAATCAATGTGAGAAAAGTTTTGAAATTTACTCGATTATTCACAAGCATCTGAATTTTTATCAGTAAGTCGCTTAATTAGCCAAATATCGAAAAATTCTACCCCTTCTATACAAAATGCACATTTACTATTTACATTTGTATATATACAGGTCCAGTACAATCAGTACATTTAGCTACGTAGGTAGAATTACCTACGTAGCTTTATTTACCTACCTCAGGTAGCTTGATTTAGCTACCAAATGAATTTATGTCTATAAAAAAGCAATTTTCTCAGGATGTGCAAAAACTATCATTTTGATGCAGTGATCATTTTCAACTTTGAACTCATCTGAAAACAATTCATAAAAAATTCCCTCTTGAAGAAATGTCTTTTTCTGCGCAATTGCAATCAAAGTTTTGAAAGTTTTGGGGCTATGTATGACAGTTAGAGCAGTTACTCCTTGAATGAAATGACAAAGAAGTCCAGTTCTGGTTAACACGATAATAGGTCGGTAATTATTCAGCACAATGTGAAGTAATCATACTCAGTCATGCCTCACCGCACGGACAGCTAACCAAACAATGGAATTACACGTTTTGCTCTAAATTGACCAAACACAGCGATGTTTAAACTATCTCAGCTTTGGAATGTTTTTTAAAGTCTCCCTAGTATAAATATCAATAGTCATTTAACTGCGATTTTTTGTCTCTTTTCCATAAAAAGAAAAGTTACATTGAAATAGCTAAATAAAGCTACCTGAGGTAGGTAAATAAAGCTACGTAGGTAATTCTACCTACGTAGCTAAAAGTACTGATTGTACTGGACCTGATATAGAGGGGGTGGAATTTTTTTTTCGATATTTGGCTAATTTAGCGACTTTTGATAAAAATGCAGGTGCCTGTGGATTATTTAGGAGAAACTTTTCTCTAATTTACTTACCATGAGTTTGGCACGAGACGAAATACCCTTTGAACTGTATTTTCTAGAATTAGTTGTGTTATTTTAATTTGGAGAATATATACTTATTGTTTGACCATTAGGGCGAATGCAGTTGTACAATATAAAAAAAACCCTTTACATAGCTTACACTTGTCGCCTGCATGCTGCATGGTGCAGTGGTTAACAGAGCATGTGCTCTAAGTATGGATCTGATCTTTAAATCCTGGGTTCGAATCCACCATGGGAGGTAGAGATCGGTTCCTTTGGATAAGATCTCTAAATCAAGGTCTCATGTCATAGGATGTGATGACAAGAAAAAGATCATTCACTGCTCAATGGCCCTCATAGGGCAAGTGGTGGTTTGTTTCTTCATTCAGTTCAATTCATAGTGAATTATATTCTCAAAAGGAGCGTTAAACAACACACAAACAAAGCTTGCACAAGTCGTAATGGTTTAACTTAATGATGCACCTCTTCACACTTTTACCACATAAAATACAATCTAGACTGCAATGTCACATGAACTTGTATGTCATTTTATTTTTGTAATCAAATATAAGTAGGCCTAGCTTGTGTTTTTTAAAATGAAAAACATTGAAGAATACATGCTATTGCTATTATACATTTATTTTTTGTTTCATAATTAGATTAAATATTGTTGTAACAATTAAATCTACACAAAACAATAAGGCCAGATAAAATTAATCTTTAGATTCTCATCCCCGCCCGCCCCTCTCTAAATGTCCCGCCCCGGAGTTTTTTATTTTGATTTTTGGGTGTTAATAAAGGCATTTTCATGTATTTTTATTCAGTAAGAATTTGGGTGAAGTTTAAGAGTTATCTCCCGTCTGTATTAAAAGTCGCGTGTCGCTATTTATAGCAAAAGAGCCATGTGAGGAATGGAGAAAAATCGGCAATAAAAGCAGTTTGAATATGTAAGGAAAAGATTATTTGTCAGTATAGAGAAGGCAGAAAAAAATAATAGCATAAACACATCTAGATACCATCACTGGCATTCATTACTCCTACAAGTAAGAGCCTCGGTTAACGTCCCTACGCTCCTTATATACTACGCGGCGCCAAGTCAAAAGTATCTCGCCGTGAACCTCTAGCATGCTGGAGTATGGCATTCATGAGCAAGTTTTTTTAAAGATTTTTTTTAAAACTAAGTATAAAAATAGACATGGAAAATGACACCTGGTCAAGTTTAAACGATCTCCAACTGTGTGTGATTTTGATTTGATAAAAAATAAAACATCGTAGGCAGGCTTTAGAGAATGTTTAGTGCTAAGAAAATGTTAAATATCAAACCTGTTCAGGCCTCGTTTTTTTTGGTAGGATATTTTATTAGAATATTTATAGATTTTGTAAATATGACTTATTTTATTGTCGAACATGTCAAGTCTCAAGAACGATCCATTTTTAAGGAAGGTGGAAACCTATGATATTTTACAGAAAACAGAGGGATTTGTAGGTAAAACTAAAGGGTCTTTAGGGAAAAGTGAGACATGAGAAGTCATGCATACAAAATTTATTGATATCAGAACCCCACCTCATTTTGTTTCGTGTGTACCGTACGTATATGTGTACTTGATAATATGTTAATTAACAATAAATATCTAATAATTTAAAGCAAGAATTTTCTTTAAAATATTTAAAAGAATATGAAAAAAAGATTAAATCTATTCATATTGGCATTAACATAATGAGAAAATGTGTACGAAGAGTCCATGTTTTGTTATAAATACTTACAATTTAACAATTATAAAAAATAAAAAAATCCGCCCACCCGCCCCAATTTTTTTGCTAATTAGGATGAGAATCTAAAGATTAATTTTACCTGGCCTAAGCCTTTACGTATACAGTCCTCCACATACAAACAAATTCTGACAGAAGTTTGGAAAAGTTTTACTTAAAAATTAAATTGTCAAATATGCAATTTAAATTAAGATTTTCTTCATCATTACTTGTTTGTCTATTGAGCTTATTTTCTGGGTAACACTTTGAGCTGCTCCCTATTATGATTAATAAATTAAATGAAATGTGGCAAGATATAATACTTTGTTTGGTTTTCAATTACAGGTGAATGGAAACCATGATGTTTCTATGATCTTGTTTGATATTGGTGACAGGTGTGAGAAGTGGAGCCATGATGTTAACTTGGAAATATCTTAACAAGATTTGGTGGATGCCTACATCAACTGCCATAAGATGGAAACACTCCCTCAGAAATGTTAATAGGCATATTTTTAGCAAAGGCTGCAGAGGAAATGATAGAAGTTGTTCTTTAAAATGTTTCAAAAACAGCTCAAGAAACATTTTTATATCATGTTCATCTTTACTACAAGCAGAATCTGTGGAAAAGGGATTAATTATAGAACCTGATGAATATGTTCAAAACATTTTCAAAGGACTGAAAAGTCAGAATAGGGGGAGTTTAGCAAGAGCAATAACTCTTATAGAGACTAGCAACCCAAAGAAGAAAGTTCAAGCCAAAGCATTACTGAACCTAATTCTACATGATCAAAAGATGGTTGGAGTTCATTCTATGAAAGGTCCACCAACTTTTAGAATAGGTGAGTAATATCTCAGAGTCTCTCTTTTTTTTTTACCAAGAGTTTTTTTTATTAAACAAACTCTTTTGATTAAGAAAGATGCACATTTAAATTGTTATTTATGATGAGAAAAGAAATTTTTGATTAATTCTTTTTCTTTTCTAGGACTCTCTGGACCACCTGGGGCTGGGAAGAGCACATTTATTGAAACATTTGGAAAGTTCCTTACAGAAAGGGATCACAGAGTTGCTGTCTTAGCAGTTGATCCCTCCTCATCACGCAGTGGGGGTGAGTTCATTTATGATAATCACAGAGTTGCTGTCTTAGCAGTTGATCCTTTCTCATCAGGAGTGGGTGCAAGTTCTTTATAGGTTACCCTTATAGAGAGGATAGGCTTATTTGACTTGATAAGAAGTCTTTATCATGTCCTAGAAATAAGATAGCCTCAACTGTCATTTACTTGGGTTTTTTTTCAATACATTAGTTCTCTTATCAATGATTAAGTTACTTTTATATTGGTTAATATGCATCTAGGTCTGTATCAGACCTACATGCATATGTACATTTTCAGTTACATGTATTTAAATTAATGGTTTTAGAGCACATATCTTCCAAAGAAATTTCAAAGTCTTCTTGGACCAAACTTGCATAGATATTTGTAATGTATCTGGGGATGTACATCTACCAAATATTTCAGAGAAATCATCTGACCAATCAGAATGATCTGACCTACATTTCCCAGGCAATAGAAACAAAGATTTTTAGCAGGTCCATTCCCAAATTATTAGATAAAGTATACAGAGACCAGACTTGCAGGGATGTACATCTATTGATACACGTTAACAAAACAATCATTTAGTTTGAGAATTTACCCTCCTTCAAATAACAAGTTGAGATTTATAATCTTTTATAAATGTTCCAATCAGGTTCTCTGCTTGGTGACAAAACAAGGATGCCTGAACTGTCAAAAGACATGAACGCTTACATCCGAGCCTCGCCATCCCGGGGAATTCTGGGAGGTGTTACCAGGACAACCAACGAAGCTATACTGGTGTGTGAGGCAGCAGGATATGACATCATACTGATAGAAACAATAGGTCAGTATTATAGCCCATAGAAACAATAGGTCAGTATTGTACCCAATCATCTATTTGTATATTTTTAAATCAAATAAATTAAATACATGTGTAATTATTTAACTTGAATAAACAGAAAGAAGCTTCTAAGTAGCTTGGAAGTTGTTAAAATGTGATGATCAACTGCTAAATTAATTTTGCTTACACTACACTACATTACCTTTTTTTTAGGTCACCTGAGTCACTCAGGTGACCTATTGCTATCCGTTTTCGTCCGTCGTCGTGCGTTGTTCGTCGTGTGTTAACATTTGAACATTTTCAGCTTTTTCTCTGAAACAACTGAACCAATATCAACCCAATTTGGTATATAGCATCTATGGGTGAAGGTGAACATAAATTGTGAATTTTATGGTCCCTGACCCCCTGGGGCCTGACGGGTCCCTGTTGGGGCCAAAACCACTAAAATTGATAAATCCTTGAAAATCTTCTTCTCTACTCCTGGACATCAAGCAGTCAAACTGTTAGTATGAATGTAATGAGCATTGAGTCCTCTACAAAATTGTGAAATTCATGGCCCCAGGGCCCAGATTTGAAGATCTTCTTCTCTGCTCCTGGGTATTAAATAAACTAGATTAGTATATAGCTATAATGAGCAAGAGTGGCTCTACTAAAATTGTGAATTTTATGGCCCCATGGTCAGGGGTTCTGGTGTAAGGACGGGGCTCTTTTGATTATATAGTGAAAAACATTAATTCTTTGAAAATCTTCTTCTCTGCTCCTGGGTATTTAATAAACTAACTAAGTACATAGTTATGATGAGCAAGAGTGCCTCTTCCAAAATTATGAAAATTTATGGCCCTAGGGTCAGGGGTTCTGGTGTAAGGGCGGGGCTCTATTGATTATACAGTGAAAATAAATTAATTCTTAGAGAATCTTCTTTTCTGCTCCTGGGTATTAAATAAACTAACTAAGTACATAGTTATGATGAACAAGAGTGCCTCTTCCAAAATTTTGAATTTTATGGCCCTAGGGTCAGGGGTTCTGGTGTAAGGGCAAGGCTCCATTGATTATATACTGAAAATGCATTTATTCTTTGAAAATCTTCTTCTCTGCTCCTGGGTATTAGATAAACTAACTAAGTATATAGTTATGATGAGTAAGAGTGCCTTTTTTCAACATTTTGAATTTTATGGCCCCAGGGTCAGGGGTTCTGGTGTTAGGGTGGGGCTCTTTTGATTATATAGTGAAAAAACATTAATTCTTTAAAAATTTTCCTCTCTGCTTCTGGGTATTAAATAAACTAAATTAGTATATAGCTATAATGAGCAAGAGTGCCTCAACCTGATTTGTAAATTTCATGGCCCCTGTGTCAGGGGTTTACCCATTTTGTGTAAGTGGGGTCTTTTGATTATATAGTGAAAATACTTTAATTCTTTGAAAATCTTTTCCTTTGCACCTCCTGGGTATTATGCCAATGATCTAAGTATATATATTTATGATGAAAAAAGGTGCCTCTATCAAAATGGTTAATTTCATGCCCCCTGGGTCAGGGGTATGGGGGTGTTACATAGTCTGAAAATAAATTAATGCTTTGAAATTTGCTCTTTAGTATCAATCAACCATTTATGATGAAATAAAATTTATGAAAAAATTTCCAAAATTTTGAAATAAGTGGCCCCATGGTCAGTGGTTCCTTTGGGGTGGGTTGGACGACTGATTATAAGTTGGAAGTGCATTTTTTCTTTGTTACTCTGATCTACCTCTGGGTATTAAGTAACTAGAGTAAGCAAGCTAAGTGCATAATTATGATAAGCAATGGTGCCTCTTTCAAAATTGTAAATTTTGTGGCCTCGGATTTAAAAGGCGAAACAAATTCAATTGTTCGAAAGTTGTTACATGATATTTAGTTGACCTATAAGGCCCGTGGGCCTCTTGTTTTAGTTACATGTATGTTAATAGGCATGTGCACTAGGGATGTGCAATTTTATCGGTATACCGTTATATCGCCATTTTTTGTTGTGTGATATGTATCATGATACGGAGACCTAAATACAGGTATTTAGGTACATATTATAACGTCCAGAAATTATTTATTTATTTGTACAATCTTTAAAATTACAATTACGGAAAGTCTAAAAAATGTTGTAAAAGGTGAAAAGAATGGCATCTTACCATCCAAACATGATTAATTTTATCTACATAAAAATTTTTTAAAAAGTGAAATTTTGTTTTTCTTGCATATTTAAAAAAAGTATTGATTATTCATTTAAATTCATTGTGAAAATTGCTTGTAAAAATATCTTGATATTATCATGATATTTTGGGGAAAAAATCTTGATATATCATGATACGAAATATTTTAGCGATACCCATCGCTAATGTGCACTCACAGTGGCCGGTAACATACTATATTTGATTTTACATTATGTAGATTCAAATATAGTATTTACTGGCTCCTGTTTGTGCACTGTGCAGTGGATCCTGATTTGTGGAATAATTATTTACATCGTAACTTGTAAAAAATTTCAAGAACATTTCTTCATCGAAATGATTATCATTTATATGTATATTCATTTTGATTGAAACTATGTTAAGCTGTGAAGAATATACAGTATATTAAATGTTTACTTTGTGGTAAATTTATTGATAAAAAAAATATACAAAATTACTAGTAATGCTATAAATTAGTCAAAAACTGATTTTCTGATATTTTATGATTACTTTGTTTCTAGGTGTTGGGCAGGCAGAGTTTGTGGTAGCAGACATGGTGGATATGTTCTGTTTGATAATACCCCCTGCTGGTGGGGATGAACTGCAAGGTTTGTTTACAATGTACATACAATACAAATATACAAGTATGTGTATACAGGGGCATAGCCAGGGTACTTTTAATATGGATGCCCGAGTAGGCAGGGGTGTTGTGAGAAAGTGAATTTTCGACATGCATAAATTCTACCCACCTGATCGCATTTTCTTTACACTTTATAAGTTTGTGGCGCAGTCATATACAAGGTCTTTTCTGTTTTTATACAAAATGCGGATAAACACTCAAAAATGAGAAAGGATATGTCCAGTATGGTTGTATGATGAACCTACTAAAACAATTTTAAACTTTTGAAGAGACAAAATACACGGAAGGTAAAACAGTCGATTAGAGTGGTTGACTGATTTAGACAGGCCCTGATATTGACTGTTAGACAGACAGTAATGTTAAAGAGACTGGAGAATTCTTTTTAACTCAATTTCTTGCACTTAATTTATGTATATTTTATACATTTTAAAATGAATGTTCATTGTATGTCTTTTCAAAGTTGAAACGTCAAGATAGATCCACATGATACACATTTTTGGAAAACAAGCCTTTTTTCGCCACAAACCTCATTTATTTTTTTATTATTCGAAATTGTTTCTAAGTAATTATATTTTTTATAATTATTTTATTTATTGTTTGCAAAATGATGTCCACATGTTTTAAGAGCATACACACATACATATGGAAATCACATCTCTCTCTCTCTCCTTATTTTCGAAAATAATGTGTACAAATGTATGCCAGGCTACGCGCCTGGTATGTATAGTAACATTAAGAAGGAGTAAAATAAGTGGGGATTTAAATAAGATAAAAAAATATGGGTTATTTTTGTGTATGCATCTTTTTCAAGTTCACATTTCAGTACATATTTCACTGTTAGATGTGCACGGAGAAACAATGACTTTATTTCATTAAGTAAATTTTCTGTGTCCTATTTACAGGTATAAAGAAGGGCATAGTAGAGGTAGCGGACCTTGTGGTAGTCAATAAATGTGATGGCGACCTGGTCAATTCTGCCCGCATCATACAGAGTGAATACATGAGTGCCCTCAAGTTCATCAGGAAGGTTAATATAAACTGGAGTCCAGAGGTAAAGTTATCAACAGAGAGTTAAGATCTGTAATGCATGTCAAGTAACTACTGATACTCTGTTTGAAATTAATAATGCATCATGAAGATGGACAAAATTAAAACTGAAATTGTTACATTGTTCATTTAGAGTAACATGGAAAATTAAAACCATATAACAAATGTTAGAAAGTCTAGTATGAGGAACCTTTGCTATAGCAGGGTAATTCAACTAGGTTTTTTTTTTCTTTTTTTTGCTATGAGGTTTTGCTCTACAACAGGGATTGTGCTCTTTGCAGGTTTTAAGGATATCATCATTAACTAAAGAAGGAATTCCATCTCTGTGGGAGAAAATGTGTGAATTCAGACGAGTGATGTCAAGTACAGGTGACTTAGACATAAAGCGGGCAGACCAGAAGAAGATTTGGATGTGGAATTACATCAAGGACAATATCATGGATTTGTTCCATTCCCACCCTGTGGTCAAGGAGAAGATAGGTGTAATGGAGGATAGGGTGTCACACGGTGTACTCACACCTGGGGACGCAGCCGACTTGTTAATGAAGGACTTTATAAAAGAGTATGTTGTGGATGATAAAACGTGATAATTTATAAATTTTCCCCTGGTTTTTGCTACGATATTTACTTGATGATTCCTGGTAAAACGTGTGTGTATAATTGAAGTGTGAATCAAGCTTACATATACCAAATACATGTTTATTGATTTTTGCTTTCAATGAAAGAAGATAATATGTATTTGGGTCTATTTTCCCTTTGTCTGTCTCCTTTCGGCTGCATTTCATTTCCGGAATTTTTGGTAATTATCAACTTTTCATTTCCGACATTTTTAAGTTTTCATTTCCGACAATTTTTTGTTTTCATTTCCGACATTTTTTTCAAATACATAAGTAGTACCTATAGTAACAAATTTGATAACTTTACTTATGAAAAATTTAAAGGAATAAATCATAAATAAATCATTGAAATCCAATTTTGTAAATCTATCAGTGACTTGGACATAAGTATGGTGCTGTCACTGACATTTAATTTTGTGCACATTAAATATGGTGAAAAAGTTTTATGCTCATTAAACTCTTTTACCTAGATTTAGTGCTACATGTATGCATATGTATAATTTTTTTTTTTTATTAATATTTTGGCATTAATACTATTAAAATTCCATTTTTTTTTACTTAGAAAACATTGAATTGCCTTACAGGTAAATTCCGGAAATGAAAAAAAAATTATGTCGGAAATGAAAACAAAAAATGTCGGAAATGAAAACAAAAAATGTCGGAAATGCTATGCATATTTCCGGAAATGAAATGCAGCGCTCCTTTCTGTGTGTCATATCTCAGAAAGTCCTTGAGCTTTTGCAGTGAAATATATCCTGAATCTTCCTTTGACTTAGAGAACACCCCAATTGAATTCAAAGTTGAATGATAAGAAACAATTACATGTATTATGTATTTTAAAAGTCCTAATCATTTATTATAAAAAGTATTTTACCCTCAAAATCTCAAATCCTTTGATTTTCGTCGTTCCCATTGAGTCTGATGTAATGAGAATTTGCTATTTAACGTTATTTTATACAGTACTTATTTGTGTTTATGTTGTTTCTGAAGTGTTTTATGAGATATAGTAAGTTAAATAAAGCAATATTATTTTACGCTTAATAAAAAAAGTTCATACATTCTGTGGTTTTGTAATTCTTGTGGCAGTTCCAGCTATGCAGTAGTTGTAAAAAATGAAAAAAAGATTTTTAGGAAGGTTTGTATTTGGATTGCTGAAAAAATGATACAGATGTTAATCAAATTCCTTTTTTATTTTGGGTTTGGCATAACAAAATATATAAGTACGATGCATTTTCGTATTTCTTAAATTTCTACTTCTATAGAATTATAGCGATTTCCTGCTGAGAAAAATGATAGTTTACCTACATTGTTATTTTAATACAAATTGGAATGTGTGGAAAGATGCACTATTTTTCAGAGAATGGTCATGCAGTCAAGGGAATCAGAAAAGAAACTTTCAAAACGTGATTCTCTCACTTTTGGTATTAAAGGTTCGGGTATAATTTCATAATAATGAGTAGTCCGAAATATCTGACGTTTTCCGCTTTTTTTTTTTTTTACGATTTTGATATTTTACATGACAGGTTTTCAAAATTGTACATAAAAAAGCCTAGATATTCCGAATTAAATAATGAGTGGGGGTGGCAACATGTAGCAAGAATTGATACTTTTGACATGATAGGTATGTTTTAAGTTCAAAAGAAAAAGATCTTGGTTAATGAAAATACCGCTAATTTGTACGTACTTATATGGAACGCCGTCACTGCCTTATAGCAGAACACTACTATTGCATTGTGTCAACCTTCCATTACATTATGTCAACTCTTTATGACATTAACCCACACTACTATTGCATTGTGTCAACCTTCCATTACATCATGTCAACTCTTTATGACATTAACCCACACTACTATTGCATTGTGTCAACCTTCCAATACATTATGTCAACTCTTTATGACATTAACCCACACTACTATTGCATCGTGTTAACTTTCCTTTTCATTATGTCAACTCTTTATGACATTTACACATACTACAATTTTATTTCGTCAACTTGCATTTCCTTATGTTTACTTTTCATGACAATCTTAGTTTTTATTAGCTGATGTGAAAAGCTCATGCCATACTGTGCGCACTCTTCTACATTATGTCGATTCACTATTACGTTATGCGAACACGGGTATCCTCGGGCTTTATATGAGCATAACGTATTTTCCGCGTTCCGCAAGCACTAAAAATGGCGGGAGAGAAAACTGTCGTAGAAGAGATTCTCAGCGATTTCGGAATGACATCTTTAAATGAAAACTTTAAGCGACAAATGATTGACAATCTTGAAACATGCAGAGTCTTAACACTGCGACTGTGAATTAAAGTCACGTCGAAATTCAATGGTGTTTACTTTAATCTGATAATAAAATAGATCAAATATTATGAGTCGTGCAGCAATCATTTTTTCTTTTTATTTTGAATTGTTTTCTTTTTTTTTTTTTTTATAAAAGTCTTAAACTTTGTAGGACATTGCATTAGTTTCACATTAAGTTTAGCTGAATTAAGTTGAAAACTTTTTTCTATAAAACTATAAAGCCTGAGAGCTTCTCCGCTATCCGCCCTTGGTCTCCAACCATATACCCTCCCCCTTCCTTGTTCAAGATTCCCATATCTGCCACTGATATGTGCCCATGCATGCTTACTAAGGCATATTCAATTGATTTAGATGAGCGACTGGTAGATTTTTGTAATAGAATTCTGGCCCTGGAATGATTAAAAAAATTTACTAACTCCAGCGACGTAGCATCATTTTTTGAAAGAGGAGGTCAGCCAAAAAAAAATCATTTACCCGAAAAAACTTGACAAGCCAAGAAAAAAAATGTCCAAGCCCGAAAATCCTATTTCGGGGAGAGTGGTCCAACTTCAATCAGTCCTTTTTTTTCCAGATATATTACATTACCCTTAGTGGACTATACTTCAACAAGAAGTGGGGGTGGGGGGGCTGTACAGTTTCAATGAACATTACATTTTCTATAGTAAAGTTATGTCTGGGAAAAGAGGGGGGTTGATATTATGTGCCTGTAATTTGTCCTAATCAATCAGGATCCCCCCTTTCTTACCAGTCATTAAAACACGGTCGTCAACATTCATTGTATACTAGATATACAGCTTTGAGATAATGTAAATGTATTTTAACATCAGGTAATGAACTTTTGGAATCAACATGATAAAGAGTTAACACAATATAAAGATATTTTTAAATCACATAAGAAAGAGTTGACATAACGTAATTATATATCCATATCAAGGAATGGAGTTTTGACATAATGTAATAAAGTGTTGATATAATATAAAGATATGTTCACATCATGTTATACACTTTTTACACCACGTAATAAAGCACTGACATAAAGGTAAGATGTGTTCAGCTCACATCATGATGCCCTCGCCGTAAAATAAAGATAAATCCATATCACGTAATAATGCTTTGATATAATAGAAATATACACTCTCCAAAAGGAATGGGCTTTTGACTTCATGTAATGATAAGTTTAATTATAAAACACAATTCACTTGATGTAATGCAGTTTTGACCTCACATATTAAAGAAATGAAATGATGTAAAGAAACATTCATTTCACGTAATAAAGTTTTAACACGATGTAAACACATTATCACTTCACATAATGAATTTTTTACTTCAAGTTATGAAGTGCTGACATAATGAAAGGATGTATTTACTTAATGTAATGCAGCATTGGCATGATGTTAAGATATATTTTCATCATCACATAAAAAATGGACATAACGTAAAGATATGTTCACATCACGTAATGATAAATTGACGTAATAAATGCATAGTTGTATGCTATAAGGCAGTGATGGCGTTCCATATACTTATATGAACAAGCTAATTCAGAGAATTCGTGTCCCCCGCTTAGGGAAAAAGTCGGCTCCCCCTGACTGAATTTGTAGAATTATTAAATGTATACATGTATACTGAAGGAAATAAAATACATGTATGTCAATATGCATATAAAGATTTGATTGCTTATTCTTTATTATGTGTATAGAAGATTTTTTTATATGGAATATTTATCACACTGTAATGATGATTTTATAACCTCATAAATTTTTCATTTCACATGCTGAATACTATCATTTAGTAAAAAAAAAAGTATTAAAAAAAAAAAAAGAAAGATTCGACCGAGATTCGATCCCGGGACCTCTCACATTTGTAGCGAGAGACATAACCACTAGACCACGGAGTCGCTTTACACGGAGTGAAGTATATGCAGAACTGAAGTCACATACATGTATATATTCATGTTTTCATGTTCGGTATTCTCAAAATTTTACACAATCCATGGTGTTTGATTTATTTAGCCTTTATTAAACAGTTATTATAGATGTAATAAGAACATAAAGTCCGCCGATAACCTGTTTTATACGCAATAACTCTCCTCATGCCCCTGCGCTAAAAATAGCGACATGTAATACTATAAATACTAATAAAACAAACGGGGCGGGGCACTTTGAGAGGGGCGAGAGACGTCCTAGGGAGTTTTGGTATAAAATTACATTGCATAAGCTCAAAATCTTCTTGAAATATCGCCCGGAAATGATAGTGTTACACACAGACAGAATGTATAAATTTACGACCTTGAACTTTGACCTTTTGACCTCAAAATCAATAGGGGTCTTCTTTAGGCCACAGGGAGTTGTTATGTAAAATTTCATTGCGATAGCTCAAATGGTTCTAGAGATATCGTGTGGAAACGAAAGTGTTTTAACAGACAGAATTTGCTTATTTATGACCTTGACCTTTGACCTTTTGACCTCAAAATCAATATGGGTCTTCTTTAGTCCATAGGGAGTTGCTATGCTAAATTTCATTGCAAAAGCTCAAAGGGTTCTCGAGATATCGTGTGGAAACGAAAGCGTTACAGACAGACAGAAAGACGGACGGACGGACGGACGGACGGACAGACGGACGGACGGACGGACGGACGGACGGACGGACAAACCCAAATTAATATCCCCCACTTTTCAAGCGGGGGACAAAAATATACACTGTACGCTCAAAATTAAGGGGAAAGATTTTGAAAGTAACAAGCTAATTCAGAGAATTCGTGTCCCCCGCTTAGGGAAAAAGTCGGCTCCCCCTGACTGAATTTGTAGAATTATTAAATGTATACATGTATACTGAAGGAAATAAAATACATGTATGTCCATATGCATATAAAGATTTCATTGCTTATTCTTTATTATGTGTATAGAAGATTTTTTCATATGGAATATTTATCACACTGCAATGATGATTTTATAACCTCATAAATTTTTCATTTCACATGCTGAATACTATCATTTAGTAAAAAAAAAAAGTATTTAAAAAAAAAAAAGAAAGAAAAAAAAGAACGGTGCGACCGAGATTCGATCCCGGGACTTCTCACATTTGAGGCGAGAGACATAACCACTTGACCACGGAGTCGCTTTACTCGGAGTGAAGTATATGCAGAACTGAAGTCACATACATGTATATATTCATGTTCGGTATTCTCAAAATTTTACACAATCCATGGTGTTTGATTTATTTAGCCTTTATTAAACAGTTCTAATAGATGTAATAAGAACATAAAGTCCGCCGAGAACCTGTTTTATACGCAATAACTCTCCTCATGCCCCTGCGCTAAAAATAGCGACATGTAATACTATAAATACTAATAAAACAAACGGGGCGGGGCACTTTGAGAGGGGCGAGAGACGTCCTAGGGAGTTTTGGTATAAAATTACATTGCATCAGCTCAAAATCTTCTTGAAATATCGCCCGGAAATGATAGTGTTACACAGAGACAGAATGTATAAATTTACGACCTTGAACTTTGACCTTTTGACCTCAAAATCAATAGGGGTCTTCTTTAGGCCACAGGGAGTTGTTATGTAAAATTTCATTGCAATAGCTCAAATGGTTCTAGAGATATCGTGTGGAAACGAAAGTGTTTTAACAGACAGAATTTGCTTATTTATGACCTTGACCTTTGACCTTTTGACCTCAAAATCAATAGGGGTCTTCTTTAGTCCATAGGGAGTTGCTATGCTAAATTTCATTGCAAAAGCTCAAAGGGTTCTC